ATTGATAATGTCTTATTATTTTTATCATCTGATTTTTACCGCCTTAATTTAAATTTCAGATCAATTATTATTTAATATTTATATACGATAATTTAATTMTTTATATTTATTATGTTATTGTATATAATATACATGCTCTGTTGACCTATTAATTTCTTGAAAATATAAATATATAAAAAAATTACGTCTTAAATTGGGTCATATATAGTCTTAAATCAGATGTGCAATTTAAGATAGATAATTATTTATAAGATATAGATCTTTAACCTGATATATTCCTCAATGGATAATCCCACAGATAAGAAAATACTCTCCTATAGTATAGACATATAGTCTGTTCTATTATATTTGAGAGAAGTGTTGTGTCAATCACATATAACCGGTATATTCCTCAGTGGATAATCCTACAGATAACACAATTATTCTCCTTTTTTCAAGACAGTATAGACATATAGTCTGTTGACTGTTAATTTGGTTTGTGGATAAGGATGTGGCCAGTATTGTGGTATCTGGGAATGGATTTATAAGTGAACCATCAATTGAAAATAATCCAAATAATATACATTGTGCTGTTTTAGACAGTAACCTTGCGATTGATGATATAAAAGGTATTTTGATAGCGATGGCTGGGCTGCAATGCTCTCCAGCAAGTTGTGGAGATAAAGCGGATAAATCCAACATGGATATGTAAATCTTGCAATGAGGATTCATCAAATAATTCAATTTGTTGCAATAGATGCTTAGAGTGGTTTCATTTTAAGTATGTCAATGTTAAAACAACATTTAAAAAAAAATATGGTTTTGCAGTATCTGTAAAGTAACTTATGATTGATAACTTAAATACATATAACTAATATTATGATTCTGTATTAAATAATACTTACATTATACTTTGTGATTTATAGAATTTTATACTTTTTTATATAAGAACGACTGATTTACACTATTTGTAATATACTAATTTAATACYATTGATTATAATTACTATGTTAAAAAATATTATATTAAATTTGAATTTTTGGTATTTGGTAATGATAAGATATTATCAAAATTTGGACCAATCACAGCATAGGACGCGAAAATAGGTAAATACGCGTCGGACGCGGAAATAGCCACTTCCAATAAATTAATGATTTGTTGATTTTAATTAAAGCAAAATAGATATTGAAATGTGCGTAATTAGTTGTTAAATATTAATATCAGATTTTGAATAAACTTGGTTGTTATAGGGTATTTGTGTTTATGAATATAATATGTACATGTTTTTTAAACATTTCAAATTTATATACATACTATTTTATGTATAGCTTACTAAAATATTTAAAAAAAACCACTTTCCGAAAATGATATAGTGTTCCGTCTACGTTTTGCACTTCCTTATTATATATATTATTATTAGGCGTTTATTTATTTATGAAAAAAGGACATTTTCCTAACTGTAAAATGAAGTGGAAGCATGATTCGAAACTAGAATAATAAAAAATTCAATACAAATAAAATAAATATAAATATGTAGGTACTTGATAGTTGATAGTTATGTAAAATATAAATGTTTTGTTTTAATGAGGAAGGTAATATTTTGTATTAAAATTGTTTAATTGATTTTAATTATTAAATACAATTTTACGCAATTAATTTCATCTTTTTATATAATTTATTGATCTTTTTATTATTTATTTGTATCATTTTTAAAAATTTTTTTTTTATATAAATATGTAACTTAAAATTGAAATATTATAGTAAAAGCATTATTTTTTTTATTGATAATTTCAAACTCGCCAGCTAGGTATGGCCATTAGTTAAAATTTAAATTAGGTTACAGTATTTACAGTTTTAAAAAATATTTCTCTTAGATACTAAAAATTAAAAGTAAAATATGGTTACATTGTATATAAAAATTGTTTACATATTATTTTTAGATTATATTTTAAAGATTTGTTGGTTTCAAAAATTGTATCATCTAACTATTCTTTTTGGTGTTGGGTCCAAGTGCAACGCCGAGGCTCCTATCTAGCCCAATGATTTGTTGATATTGTTCGTATTTGAGGCATTTGGTTATCATGTGTTTCACTGTTAATTGAACAAAGCATTATTTTGTTCAGTTACTAACTTATGATATTTCTGAAGATGTTATCGATAAAAATATTTTAAACTATTTTATTAGTTTTATAAATTACCAGAATGTGTTACATATAATAATAATAATCTAAAATATAATGTATAATTTATGAGGCTTTACTTCATAATATACTATCCTTTTGATATTTAATTGATCTCATTATCTAATGTACTTTTGTAATGGTAGGTTAGGTTAGGTTAGGTTAAACAGATCCACCCATAACTATTTGTTAATAATATCTCAAAACTAGTATACCTATGTTATTTAATGTTATAATTTTATAATGTATTGTTTGATAACAATAAAAATAAAAATAAAAATACATTTTGGCAATTTAACGAAATGTATGTTAAATTTTATTCAAGAGTTATAATACAATATACGTATATTTTATTGATAAAAGTAGGTATATGCTTGTTTTATGTATACATCATTTTAAATCATATGCTAACATTATAATTTATAATGGAAAATAGTTTCTCAAATCGTAACAATGAATTATAAAGGTAACATAATAAAGAAATCTAAAAGGAAATTAATATAATTTTTAATAATARCTAGTGCGTACGTTTACTCATTATGGGCTGTGCTTTATAAGCATTATATAAATTATTATTATTATTTAAATGGAAACTGTGTATTTGCATAATATATTATGCTTTAAAATAATTAAGGAAATTCATTTGGATTGTCACTTTCTATTTATACAAACTTGCAGTATCTAGTTTTATGATTAAAATAAAATCTTAAACTTAACCTTGATTTTGTAATCAGCGTATTATAATTCGCTAAAAAAAGTTCATTAATCCTATTTGTTAGAGTAAAAGACTTTTTTCCGGAATTCTTAAGCAAGTATACATATAGGTTGGATCACTGGAATATTAAAAACAGCAATAGTCTACCACTTATAAATTATAATTGGAAAATCTTTATAAGACATCCGGTATTATAAAATATCAATTTTTGCGGTTCGTTATCGTACCTTAAGTTAGTACGTATAGTACATTTATACGTATATATAACGTTAGCCTTATTCGTGTTTAGAATGACTAATTATACTTACGATAATGCGTTTCCTAAACAAACAGCTGGAGAACTAAATAATTGTTAACGGAAATTGTGATGATTTAAATTTAATTTATAACATGAAAGGTTTTTTTTTCAAGTTGGCATTAAAGTAAAATAACAAAATTATTTTCCGTTGCCACTTTTGCACGTTTCATTGTGTTATCAACATAATCATTATCATCACCATTATGTTTGTGTTTTGTAAACAATGACAGAAGAGTTTCATTGTTTTTAAGAAAATGAAAACGAGAGAAAAAAAATCTTAATTAAACTTAACTATTCATAATGACGCTGGAACACTTTGACTGGTTCATTTATTATGAATATTATATTATACTCATTCAAGTATAAAATAGAGTATAATTGAATAGAATAAAAACGAGTTTTGCAAGGAAAAACACTTTTTTTCTTATAGAAGTGATGTTTTATTATAATTGATCAATAAGATGATATACATATTATCTAACTATATTCGGKAGAGCTATTGGACTATAAAAGGTATATTGATTCTAAAAATGCATAGTCATATAATTTACAAGCTTTGTCGCTTTGAAAATATTACTTTTACTTATGTCATACACATACATTGCAAGAAACGAGTCGATGGAATTTTCGAACTAACTAAAATATACKAAACCTATATGGCTATATTATATATTATTGATAATATATTAATTGAAACACGAGTATTAAACAGTATTGAACTAATAAAATTAAACACCAAAAAATTAGATATCAAACATGTAAGTAATAAGTTACTTGTAAGTTATAAATTATCTTAACAAACGTGTTGCAAAAATTAAATTTAACAATTATTTAAAAATCTACCAAAATACTAGTCTTGAAAATAACTCTCTGAATAGTGTTTTAATTATTTTAAAGTAATGTTATTATTTGAAAATTATTTTTGCAAGCCACCTTCAACATGATTCACTAGATTGATRGTTCATAGTAACCTATGTGGGAAAATCTACTTATTTTGCATTACCTATTGATATTTGGTTTTGGTGACAGTTTCTTCATCGATTGTCAATTTAATACATAAAATGATAATTATATGTGATACCAAGTAAAAGATTAAAGAAATGTTAACATGATACATAATGCTTATTATTTGATAGGTAACTAACAAAAAAAAATTTAATAGTTTTCATTGAATAGGCCATACCTACTTATTTAAACTAAAAGTACCTATTTAAGAAAAAAAATTCGATTCTAAGAAAAATATTTTACAATATTCAAGTACAAACTTTTTTGTAATACTGTTAAAATGTACACACAATATTAGGACTGTCAAGAATATTCTCAAAAAAAATCTTGTCAACATGTTTATAGTGTTATAGTTTTTTAAACATTAGATATTAATTTTAGTTTTATATTGTGAAGTAACAAAATATTAGAATCTTTAGTGTTGCGTATTTTACCAATAATCAATTTTACAGACTTCGTGAAACATTATATGATTATGTTAATTAATCGATTTTCTTATCTGGCTAATATATTAAATATTTGTTATAATATGTACCTAACGTTGTTTTGGTTATTTTCGTTGTCAAGTGCTACTATTCAAATTTTTGTTCACGATWAAATAATTTCAACAAATAACCGTTTAATGATTTATTTTAAAATATTCGCTAAAGATTTTCTATCATAATATACGTTGTATGCTTTTCTCGTCGATAACAGTATTGCATTATTCGTGCTTGCATAATATTGTTTTATAAACTAAGCATAATAAATAGCACGCTTAAATCATTATCATCACAAATTAAAATAACAATCCGTGATCGGGCGATATTATACTAGCACCATCATGGCTAGTGCTACCAAAATCCAATTGGTAATGGACATCATCGACAGCGCGTTGTACGACAAATCCAAACCATGGGATTCATCATTTGGACGTTTGGAATCGGCTACCGGTTTGCCCAGATTTAAGCTATTGCTATGCATCGTCCTAGTGACTTCAGTGCTGCTCGTGCACGGGGTCACCGCGGAATTGGCGAGCAACGCGATTGCGCTCATTTACCCGGCGGTGGCGACAATATCTTTGACTTTTTCACCGCCGATTTGGAGGAAGTATAACCGCGATTCCGCCGCCTATGAAGCTCAGAACGAGAAGTTTACTTACTGGATGACGTTCACGGTGATCTTGATCGCGGAATCGATCTTTTGGCCGATCCTGCGGCTCTTACCACTGTACCAGATGTGCAGGACGTGGTTTTTTATTTGGTGTTTCGCACCGATTAAAGAAAACGGCTCGGCGTATATATACAACGAAATCATACGGCCGCATTTCGAGCTCAATGCCGATGATTCAGACTGAACACATAGTATTCTAGACAAGAAAAAGTATGTACCAATATGATTGAGAAGTTCAGTCGTGTATAATTGCATCATTTGTTTTGTTATAGGTATCATTTGGTTCGATACGTAGTATAATACATATACCTTAACACGTTGTCGATGATATACATCACCAATTGGCTTTTATTAACACATGATGGTACCCTATAATACCGTCTGATTACGAGTTATAAATATAATTAAGTATATAATAAATATGCAACTATACGTATTATTATTAAAAATACAATATTATTATATAAAATACAATTAAATATTAAAATAGTATGTAAAGGTAAAATTTTTATTCATGAAATTATTTTTTAGTTAAAATATAATAATATATTATGTGAGAATATATTAAGGTTCTAATTAAAATTATAATTAATTTTAACGTATCGACTCACCACTGTTATCTTATAAAACCTTAATATACCCTCACATAATATATTATTATATTTTAACTAAAAAATACTTTGCCCCAATGAATTAACTTACCTAGAGCCTTTGATTTGATTTGATACAAATGTCTAAATTCAAATAAAGTATGCTAATCATAAAGCACACAATATACACTTTTAATTAAAAAACAAACTATCAAAAACAAAGCATAAAAGAATTTAATATTTGTCAATAACAAATTATACAATTTTATTATCAAGTAAATGATAACAGGCACATGAACAGTTTTTCATCGATTAATCCCAAAAATAATCGATATTTTATTTCAAAACTTCTATCACACAATCTCAGACGACCAAGGAAGTTATAAATCTAAAAATATTATGAAATTTATACATGAACAAATAAATATTACGATGTCCTCACTTTGTCCTGGTACCCCACTTTGCCTCATGTTCCCCTAGTGAACGTAGTAGCACAAATTGATTTGTTTCATAGTTTCATACGACTCGTCCGATATGTACGAACAATCCAAATAATGGGACAGGCCAATTCCACAATCAGGATCGCCACGAATGTCATCCAGTAAGTGAACTTTTCTTTTTGGGCTTCATATAGGTGGCGGAAACGCGGTTATACTTCCTCCAAAACGGCGCGGCGGTGAAAAGTTCAGAGATGTCGTCACCAACACCTGGTAAACGAGCCCAATTGCGTTGCAGTTCATCACTTCCGCGTTGGCACCTCAGCACCTCAGCTCGTATGAAACAGATAAATTTGTTCTAGTGCGTTCACTATATCCGTAGCAATCGGTTTTCGATAATACTGTCGCATTAGAATCGGAAAATCCGTATGACGTCATCCGTACCTATAGGAAAACTTGACTCTTCGATAAATTTCGTCGTCATTACCGACGGACTAAAGCGTACGGTCCGTCCACTGCCGGTCAGTAGGCGTTCTTGTATAATTTACTATGTAAATAATTCTAAGAACCATTTTATACGATTCGTCCAATACGTACGATACTTACTCTAACTTGGTCAGTTTTGTAAAAAGAAAAAAAATTGTAATACAAAAAATAAATTTATCCGAACATGTAGAAAAAAAACAGTGTTTTCATTTAAAAAAAATATAAGCTTTATTGCGCATGCGCACACCAATAGTGTTAAAAATTTGAAATTTATATGAAAATATGTATTTAAGTACTCCCTAACTCCTCTCGAAAATCCAGTTGCAATACAAGGTCATCCACGACCACCTGACATATTTAGTGTTACCTTAATCGTGATCACATTGTACATCGTCAATTATTGGCTTTTGTTAACATTGGCCATGATGGTACCGATCTAATATCGGCTGATCACGAATAATAAATATAATGAAGTACCTATATAATAAATATGCAACTATAATATGTATTATTATTAAAAATACAATATAATTATATATATTATTATGTCATATACAATGTTATATACAATGTAAATATTAAAATATTATATAAAGATACAATTTTTATTCATGGAATTATTTTGTGGTTAAAATATAATAATATATTATGTGAAAGTATATTAAGGTTTTATTAAACAATTCAACACCAATGAAATTCTGGCTTTCTTATTTACTTTGTGGTAGACCATTGGAAAATTGAATCTAAACCGAGTTTTGTATGTATGTCACGCCAGTCCTCCTATCCTCATTTTCAAAATATGGCGATTTTATTATTCTATCCTTTAGTAAGTGAGTACGAATTCGTAAGCAGTGGTATAGATTTTTTGGAAAATTAAGAAGAGGGTTGTGCAAATACATATAGTAGGTATACTTATTGATAATTTTTACTAAAAATTCGTGAATATTTTAATGGAGGGGAAAAATTAAACATTATATTTTATAAACTTCATAAGTCAGCACATTATTTATATTTATATCGCTTTTTTTTTTATAAAACTAAAATGTGCATATAGGTTTGATTGAATATGTTGGAAATATTRAATTTAAAAATAATAAAAGCATCATATAAACAAGATAACGAATGTGCAAAACGAAGGGCGTATGAAAGTTTATATTGCGCGTACAAGTAGAGGGCAAGGGATTGGTGAAAAATTCAAATTTCCTACGTTGGGAGCTGGCGAGAATTTACGYGCTCCATTTTTGATATATCTGAGTCCCTTCGGTCAAACAAATTCTGTACCACTGCTTAAAAATTTGTACAAACATAAACTAAAGGATAGAATAATACAATATTGAAATATTTTGAATGTAGAGGGAGCTGGTGTAAGGTAGTAGATTTTGTTTTAGTCATCTAATCGGTGTTCAAAAGTTGTCTTGCATAACTCATCTATATATTTAAATATGCTCTAACGTACATAATCTTAAATTTTGGAAAAAAATATTTTAAAATACAATTTCGTTTGTTTTTAACGATATAAAATATTTAAAAAGATTAAACCTTAGTCCTAAGTATCTTAAAATTATTAAGTTATATTTGGTGACTTTAGGCTCGCCTTATAAGTTAATATCAATGTACATATTTTTTACTATTGAAGGTGAATGCATAAGACCTTATACAAGACGCAAAACGGTTGGGTGTACACCTAATTGAATATATTTAAAATAAATCAGTTGGTCATAATTCACATGGTGTATTAATTTTAGTGGAAATAATAGTCATATCTTGTTAGTTACACTGAGTATTGTAAGAAGTTTTTGAATTGATTTATTCAAGTTGGAAATCAGTAGTATGAAGTCATCTATGAAATTATGTTAAGCATATATAATTCTTCGGTTGTATCCGTTTGTGTCAATTTCAATAAAGGCACTTTTGCAAACATCAGCCATCTTAGTGAATAATAGAAAACTGGGTAATTTCCGAAAGGTATTATATGCTAAACATACTATACAGTATACACATTAATATTAAAGTTTCAATTAATATTTTATATATTTTTTTTTAGGTAGTTACCCGAATTTCCTTAAATAATAATCTGTTAGTGGAATGTTATTGGGTAGGTAGGTATAATATTTAAAGTGTTGAAAAAATCGTGGTTTGTAAAATCGACTATTTCATATCACATATGTTTAAATTGAATTAATTCATCTTGTGGAAAAATAATAGGTTAATAAAAACATTAATTTTATAATGTTAAAATAATGATAAAAATCATAATTTGTTTAACAGCTACTGTTCGCCGTGCGCTCCTACTTTTAATATTGCGGTTAGCGCAAACGACTCGCGTAGTGATGGACGGGGGTGGGATCTCCCACGGCGTACAAAAAAGGGTTAATAAATATAATATAATAACAAATTACTGAATATTAACTAATATAGGCGCCAGACATATATTGTCAACAATAAATATATATATATAATAATAATAATAATAATAATAATAATAATAATTACGCGGGCCCGTACGCGGAAAGACAATAATAAATAATAATATAGTATGTTAATCAAAAGGTTTGATTGTTGACACACACATACAATTTCAATGTTCAACAATTAATACACAAAAGAAAGGTGAAACCTGAGCTGTTGCTTCYCCGTTGAGTCCAGGCTGGAACGGCGACAGCCTTTTGAGATRATGACGATGACAAATGATAATTTGATAGTCGCTCGAATAAAGCCGGAATGTAGTGAGCAAAGTCTGACTCCAACTATCTCGGAACTACGACAGTTGCCACTACACCCCTCGGTATAATAAAAAACCAGCAAAATGAAACACGGGTCAGTTGACCACGAGGTCACCAAAATAAAAAACTAAGTATAAAGAACCGCAGACGAAATACGAGACACGCCAGGTTTGGCGGCTGGTGAAAAACAAAACACGGTGATGGCCAGACGAGTGAGAGTCGTGGACATCGGCCGGCAATATAATATGACAAGGAGGGGGATGATTTGTCGTCATCGTCCGATCGCGCGGCGTAGAGGCTGGATAGCAGCTTTAATAATATAGAAGCGTCGCCATGACGTCAATCGCGCTCGAACAGCTACTACAGTATTTTTATTGCCATCTGTAATTTTTATAACCATTAACACTCCCTCGTCTTTGTTGTATATTAATACCTCCAGTGTTTGAAAATTTCATGAAATTTAAAAAAATGAAATATTTCAGGAAATATTTCAAAATGTGTGAAATATTTCAATTATCATTATTGTTGTAGTTTTGTCTTGTAAAATATTAAATAATTAATCTAAATAAATTAAATACCTCATTAGTCATTGACACAAATTTTTTTCTGAGTTTCAATGTATTATATGTTATATTTTTTTGCTGTACCTATTATTTGATGTAAAAATGTAAAATAAATAAGGAATAGGTAGATATCGTATATTATATATGTATCATGAACGTGGTTACATAATATATAGTTATTACTTATATGTTAAAAATCAGATCAGAGTTTTCTTGATCATGAATCTTTATGACATTTATTTGTATAGGAAACCAGTACTTAGATATGTATTATAAAGATCATAGTTTGCATACTAATAATCAACATGTAATTATATAATTAAATATAACAAAAACATAATAAAAATATTAAATATAATAATTAATAAATATTAAAAAGAAACAT